ATATACTGCAGATACTGGGAGCTACCCTATCTGCCTCTTACGCACAGCCCTGCAGTCCTGGTTCACTAACTCAGAGAAGAAGGTTAAAAAAAAGGCCAGTGACCTGACGCATACTGCAGTTCATGGGAAGATCTCATCCCATAATGCATCAATGAATGTGCTTTGAAGTGTCCAATAGGACTTGTTGTAGCACGTACATCCCTCCCTCCACTACCAATCGATCGTGGAGGGAGGCAGAGGTATGAGTGTAGGAAGGGAAGGTGGAGAGATTTATACTGACATTGCACTGTTCTCTTGCGCTCTACTGGAATGATGCTCCACTAGGTCCACCCACCTGCTTGGCATAGGCCCCAGGCTGACCCAACTAGGACAGAGCCCAGTATGGGAATATTGTCTGTACCCCTTTATTAGCGGCCTTACATATCCTCAATATGACTACTGCACACAAGGCTAGGGAGACTTCCGGCCCTGCACCTAGGAAACTTATGAATGGTACAATTGCAATCAATAAAAACTCCAGTGAGTCACTTCCATAATCTTTGAAGTCAGCTAGGCTGTGCAAAGTTGTAAATCCCAGTAAGAAAAGCATTCCCTTTCACTGCCCTGCATACATGACATTCACCCAAACGTCATTTCTCTTTGGAGAGTTTAATGTGCATGGCACTCTCTGAAAGTAATAATAACACAGTGATGTAAAGTGTGCCATCCACAATAAACAGTCATATTACAGCAGTCATTCTGCTGGTACGTAAGTGACACTAAACTCAGGAGTTCAACCTTAAAAATACATTTAAGTACCTAAACTATTATCAAAAATGTATCTTATTTGTGTATCACTCAGCTTTAGATCATCTCTGAATTGATGCTGACACTTTCCTTCCTTCTGGAGGGTGGCTACTTTTGTTCCCCATGGTCCCTGTGTGTGTTGTAAAGTTGTCACCGCTCCAAACTCACTCCTGTGATGGACTACAATCTCATGTTTAGTTTACTAATTTGTATTGAGATTGTAGTTCATCATGGGATTGAGCTTGGAGCGGTGGCTACTTTACAACACACCAGGGACGTGTGGTTAGGGGAGGCAGGTGAGGCAGAGCCTCACCTAGAATTATGGAGGAAAAAGCTATCAGCTTCATGTCTGAAGTTGACAGCTTTTTCTCCATTCAGATTGGCATCTAACAGGTTACACAGCAGGGAAATCCTGCCTCAGCGGTGAGGAACAAGTGAGGGAAAGGGAGACCCCTCCCTGTCTCCTCCCTTCCTCCTTTATACTAGATTGGGGGCGGGGCTACATCCGGTGGGGCTTCACATGGCAGGAGGTGGAGCTTTGGTCGGCAGGGGGTGGGGCTGGGGAATGCCTTACCCCTAGCCAGAGGTTCCCGCACGTCACTGCAACACACACAGGGACCATGGGGAACAAAAGTAGCCACCCTCCAGAAGGAAGGACAGTGTCAGCACCAATTCAGAGATGATTTGAGGATCTGCAGCAGAGCGATGCACAAATAAGATACCGTTTTGTTAATAGGGTGCTTGAATGCATTTTTAAGGTTTGCCTCCTGATTTTAGTGTCACTTTAATTATTATATTGTCATATATTGGGTGGCCACTATGAACAGGACCTCCATATATCATAGTCTCCATATTGTCTTGAAGCAGTGGCCACTGTCTAAGTGAACTGTATTATAGTAAAGCTCTTTCATTGCACATGATAAATAACCGTTTTATAGGGCACTGATAAGAATATGAACCTGCCACCAATACAACCTGGAGCAAGCACCTTCTGTTGTTGTCAGCTGACATGCTCCATCCTTGTTTGTCCTTTTCCTTTGGATGAAACACATACAACACAGGAAGTGTAACCTTGTTATTGTCATTATTGCAGTCTGTGTACAAGCTTTTTTTATACACAGAAAACAACATTTTAAAGTGGCATAATCACCTTTAATCGATTCATTTCTAAAAGTAACACTAAACTCAGGAATTCGATCTTACAACTGCATTTAAGTACCTCAACTATTAACATAAATGTATCTGATTTGTGCATCACTCAGCTGTACATCATCTCTGAGGTGGTGCCGACACTGTCCTTCCTTCTGAAGGGTGGCTACTTTTGTTCCCCATGGTCCCTGTGTGTGTTGTAAAGTAGTCACCTTAACGGATTGGGGACACTGTTCTGTGTGAAGGTGTTGGACATTTTTTATTTGGGTTGGTGGGGTTATAGGACTTGATCCAATTGTAAACCAATTATGCCAATCCAGCACAAGATATTAAACCCTTTACATTTGTGTAGGAATACATGAGTAGATTCTAACTGCTCAATCATGCTACTATAATCGCTAGTGATTATTCACAAAGAGTAGCAAGGTATCGCTATAGAAATCCTGCACTTTAATGGTAAGGTGGGATTTGACTTGATAAAGGGGTGTTTTCACCCCTGGAATGCTGCCACATTGTGTCGCTGGTGCTTGAAGCGTGAAAAAATACATGAGCTTATTTTGGGGCAGAATCGCACATGTTTGGCCCTATAGACTAAGAAGAAAGCGCCTGAAAAAATGTGCGTAATGCATGTTTTCCACGCAATTTTAAATATAACAAGCATCTCCTCCTAGTAACTAGCTTTACATTGGCTAAAACAAAAATGGTTATACCTGAAACAAATTGAAAGCTGGAAAAAGAAAAAAGCATCAAAATTGCCTGACAGCATGCTGGAGTGTCTTCTGTGATTTTTAATTGCTAGCTGATTAATTGCTAGCTGATTTTTTGAAAGTTATCTGCCAGAGTTTCAGGTATTCCTGGGACTGTCTGTGCCCTGGGGCTCATTAATGCCTTACTTATTGTTTATTGACCTCTCCTTTTAATTAGTGAGCTACGTGTCAGATTAATGTGAAAGGTTCAAATGATGATATGATGGCGTGAACAGACATTTTCTACAGATGTATGCATGCAATCAGTGGAAAATGTCAGTACACCGTGTCTCATTTCAACCATGTACACTGCACCAAGCCCTTGACGTGAATCACCTGTGCAGTATCTAGGTATGATCCTGCTGTGTACACATCATACATTAGCATAGCCATTTCTGTTCTGGGCTGATGACAACATTTCTTTGTGTAATCTGCACCACCCATTGGTCAGCAGTTGTCTCCCCTCCCTGCCTGAGTCACCGCTGAGCTCACCTGTTCTTCCACTATAACCCTCACACTCACCTGTACATACCGGAGACATGACATTGCACAGGCAACAGCGGAAAACATACGTGCTGTGTGTCACCTCATTAACCCCATAACTCCTTCCTACTACTACCAGCCACATGAAATCTGTATCTTTTATTTAACTCCTTCATGCCGACTGCACAGAGTGGGTCTTATACCGTGCTGCAACATATATGTGACATCACAACAGATGCTAAATCCTGCCCCCCCCAGCACTATGATTGAGCTGCCACCACTGGCAGGACATTTCCAATCAAAGTGATAGGCAATCACATTGATCACATAATCAGTTGCCCTCCATGAAGGCAAAAATGCACACAATTGTTTCTGGAACCTACTACAATACATGGTACAAATAAGTGGTACCGCAAATGCACGTCAGGAGTTGGATCATTTATTTTGGGATGTTCTTTGGTAGTGGCTCGTAGTAACGGCATGAAATATACAGCTTCAGTTTAAAAAATAATGTTTTACTATTTTGGGACAGTTTTAAAACAAATCAGGAGATATTCATTTACATTTACCACCAAATGCACAAAATGAAGGTATAAATCACCTGGATATGCCAGGTTAGCCTTTTATAATCAGGATACCTTAACATTTTCACATCATTGTGCCTTCAATGAGAAGGGTGCTTCTGATGTGAAGGGGTGGGCTCCTGATTTTAAAAAGGGGGACTCTAATGTGAAGAGGGGCTCCTAGTGTGAGAGGGGCTCCTAGTGTGAGAGGGGTTCCTAATAAGAAAGGGGGCTCTTGATGTAGAGGGAAACTCTGAGGTGAAGCAGAATGTGAACTCCACATATTTTTTGCGTTTTTGCTTTGGGTTCCGCCCCTAAAAACTATACCTGACCCCTTATCTTAGGGAAAGGTCTGGTAAGGATTTTGAAGGGACCACACATATTTTATATTTACAGTTTTTACAATTTTAGACAATTAAAAGGAGAGGTCAATAAACAATAAGTAAGGCATGAATGAGCCCCAGGGCAAAATTTTGGGACCCAAGTTTTTGGATACTTTTAAAGGGTGACATGACTGCTGAGAAACACTGCACTAGGTAGTTGCAAAGATGCCGGGGGGAATTTATCAAAACTGGAGTAGACAACATCTGGAGCAGTTGTGCATGACAACAAGTCAACTTCTCTCTTCAGTTTGTTCACTTAAGATTTAAAAATGAAATATTGGTTGCCATCGACAACTGCTCCAGATTTTGTCTGCTCCTGTTTAGATCAATTCCCTTCATTGTATATACAATATTACTCACACATGCCAACATTTACAAACTGGCTTCAGGCTTTACAATTTCTTTTACCTTTGTTAATGATGTTACCAACACAAAATGACACACCTGATCACACATCCTCGACTTAAAGAAAATGAAGCCACTCATCTCATCCTCCCAAGTATGAATTCAGTATCGGTGTAGAATAACCTCAAGTTTTAGTTTTATGTTATACACTTCAGGCACATTGCTGACTCTATCTTGGTCAAGTCTCTGTTTGATCTGAACCAGCACAAGGGAAATATTAAAAAGATGGTTGTTTCTTCTGAACGTGATTGGTTATTTAAAGTGAGCACAGGTTTGCTGCTCCTATAAATAAATCTTTCATCTCTCTTTAATGTACTGGCTATATGTAGACATAACACTGTGGAAAGCATGTTCTACTTTAAATACAATCCGATAACTAGTTGAAGACAGGCTGCTTTGTTGGAGATGTAGATGAAATGTACAGCTAGAATAAAAATGTCATTTAATATAAATGTGGGTAATAGATGAAAAGCAATGTCACTAACCTGTGCTGCAGACTGTTCCTGCTGGCAGGGTGATAATGGGTGGTGTTTCTCCCATCCTTCAATCCAGGAATATCTCTCCTGAGTGTCCCTGGAATTCTCCAGGTAGTTGTAGTGTTGTCACCTCCTGTACACTGAACACTACAGACCTGTCCCTTCTTCCCTGCCTTCACTACACTAATATGACTACGTAGGCTACACCCATCCACACTCCATTACTCTATGTGTCACAGCCTCTGTGACAAGCCACTGGCTGCCGTCAAGAAACTATTTCTGCAAGTTCTGACCCATGTACACTCACTTCTCAAAGACCTGCTTTTAGCTGCTTTGTTTTCCTGTACACAATGAGTGTTTATTGGGTATTTAAAGGTGACTGTTTGCTGAGTTATTGCCAAGCGATCTTTAATTCACAAACATGGTTATAGGAAGGCAAGGGTTCAGGCTCAGTAACCGCAATGTACTGTACACATTTTTTTATGTATTGTTTAATTCTACTGTCACATTTTTGGAATTAAAACGTATCATGTGACTTTGTAAGGCTGGTTATAAACTGTTAGGATTTCAGGCAAAATATTCACAGTGTGTGGCCCTGGATTCTCAATAAAAGGTGATTACTCAACTGGTTTTTGTCAAAGGAGCCAGACTGAAACAATGACTGCTGCCAATCAGCTGCTGTCACTGTTTGGAAATTCTGATAGCAGAGGTCATTGGATGTCAGAAAACAAAAGCCGCAGCAGGAGATTGATCTATCTGTGCTGTTTAGTGTAGATCAGGGGTGCCCACATTTTTTTGTGCTAAGATCTACTTTTGAAATGACAAGCCACATGTAATTTGTGCTCTCTCTCTCTCTCTCTCTCTCTCTCCTGGCTGTCTCTCCTCGCTCTCCTGGCTGTCTCTCCTTGCTCTCTCTCCTGGCTGTCTCTCCTTGCTCTCTCTCCTGGCTGTCTCTCCTCGCTCTCCTGGCTGTTTCTCCTTGCTCTCTCTCCTGGCTGTCTCTCCTTGCTCTCTCTCCTGGCTGTCTCTCCTTTGCTCATCCTCCTGGCTGTCTCTCCTTGCTCTCTCCCCTGGGTGTCTCTCCTTGCTCATCCTCCTGGCTGTCTCTCCTTGCTCTCTCTCCTTGCTCTCTCTCCTGCCCGTCTCTCCTCGCTCTCTCTCCTGGCTGTCATTCTTTGTTCTCTCTCCTGGCTGTCATTCTTTGTTCTCTCTCCTGGCTGTCTCTCTTCGCTCTCCTGTCTGTCTCTCCCCGCTCTCTCTCCTTGCTCTCTCCCCTGGGTGTCTCTCCTTGCTCATCCTCCTGTCTGTCTCTCCTTGCTTTCTCTCCTGGCTGTCTCTCCTCGCTCTCTCTCCTGGCTGTCATTCTTTGTTCTCTCTCCTGGCTGTCATTCTTTGTTCTCTCTCCTGGCTGTCATTCTTTGTTCTCTCTCCTGTCTGTCTCTCCCCGCTCTCTCCCCTGGCTGTCTCTCCCCGCTCTCTCCTCTGGCTATCTCTCCCCGCGCTCTCTCCTGGCTGTCTCTCCTTGCTCTCTCCCCTGGCTGTCTCTCCCCGCTCTGTCTCCTGGCTGTCTCTGCCCGCTCTCTCTCCTGGGTCACGTTGCTGTATTTTGCAAACAGTGCAGTGCAACAAGCTGTGTATACTAATATTATTTGATGTAATACATAGCACTTCAACCACCAGTATCCACCAGAAAGGTGTCAGGGAGCTTGGCTCAGCAGACTCAGGCTAATAGGTAATCATGTGTGCACAGCGAAATAAATATACCAAAATGGAATAAAGCGGCCACCATTCACACCCTTCCTGATCTACCAGCATCCGCTTTGAGAGCTACTGGTACATCACCATCTACCTAATGGGCACCTAATGGGCATGGGTAGATGGAGGAATTTGTTTGATTTTTTTTTCTTCAGCTTGCAGGCAGAACAAAAAAAAAATCTCTTAGGACCCATTTACACCATAGCGTTGCGTTAATCGCATGGTTCCATTTGATTAACCCTACCGCCCAGCACAACGACCGTGCGTTACAGTTGGGGAGGTGCATTGTGTTGGCATTCATTGCATGCACTACTTTTTGTAGCTGCACTGCAATGCATGGTATTGTGGTACCACATGTTGCGGCACAGTCGAGCGCATTGCAGCCGGTGGTGTGTTTGGGGTGCCATTCAAGTGAATAGCAATGCACCTCCCATACTGTAATGCAGGATAGATGCGTTGCATGAAAGCATAACGGAACACTGTGGTGTGAATCCACCTTAATGTTTGGCCAGCTTAAAGCTGGGTCTATAAGGATCAAATTTCAGCCAATACAGCAGGAAGCAACCAACATTCAATTGGGTGGCCTTATTCCCTTGACAAAATTCAATCTATTGACATGCTGGAAAATTGTTCGCTGAACAGTGCTTGCAAACTTGAAATAAAAAAACCAAAAAGGGCGCAACACTAGGTGGGCTAACTGGCTGGGTCGGGAGACCCAGGGAAAATGACAGGAGAATAGTGTGACAATGGGTGCACTGGGTGAAAAACCGGAGGATAGCTGAGGAAAAAGAATAAGCACTTACATTTCGTTTCACGGGACCAGAGGATGGACGGCCGGTGCAAAGGATCGGGTCATCCGTGGTATATACCTGGAACTGGTGAGCCAGGGGATGTGCATCCACAAGGGGAGAGGAGGCTGTGGGCGAGGAAGAAAAGGGGGGGAAAAGAGCAACCACAGGAATGGGGACTCAGTCCGTGGCCCGCTGTGTGAGTCCAGGGGCTGAGTGGTGTGGGAAAGAATCAGCGGTGTCAGGAGCAGGCAGAGCTGCTGTGACCGCGGCTGCGGCTCGTGCTGCTCGGTCACTGTCGGCGCAGGCTGGGGTAGTGTGCGGGTGCCGTGGGCTGAGAGTTGTCAGCTATCAGTCGGGTCTGTGATAGGAAGAGGGTAGTGGCAGGGTGGAAAGGCAATGAGCAACGCGTTTCGAGGAGTGATACCTCTTTTTCAAGCTCGAGAAGGAACATATCGAGGCGGCGGGAAACCGCCGATTTAAATGTGACAGCTGTGTGGAGCTTAGTGACAGTGGGCGGGGGAGCCACACGCTCGAAGTAGTGGAGCCTCGGCATGGTCACATTTAAATCGACATTACATGCCGATTTAAATGTGACCAGCTGTCACATTTAAATCGGCGGTTTCCCGCCGCCTCCTGCTGCAGTTCATGGGAAGATCTCATCCCATAATGCATCAATTAATGTGCTTTGAAGTGTCCAATAGGACTTGTTATAGCACGTACATCCCTCCCTCCATTACCAATCGATCGTGGAGGGAGGCAGAGGTATGAGTGTAGGAAGGGAAGGTGGAGAGATTTATACTGACATTGCACTGTTCTCTTGCGCTCTACTGGAATGATGCTCCACTAGGTCCACCCACCTGCTTGGCATAGGCCCCAGGCTGACCCAACTAGGACAGAGCTCAGTATGGGAATATTGTCACACTGTTATACATTGTGAACCATTTAACATTCTAGCTGTGGGTGGCGCAACCTAAAGGTGCCCATACACTGCACGATTCTCGTACGAGAATCGCAGGAAATCCCGCGATCGTATGAGAATCGTGCAGTGTGAACGAAGACGTGCGACCGTTTCTACTGTACGGTCGCACGTCTTTTGTCTAAGGAGCACGCTAGAAAACCAGCCGAAAATCTTACGATTTTCGGCTAGTTTGAACGGTGCTCGGGAGACAAATGCCGAACGGGCCGGTGTGCGCATGCGCACACTGCCCGTTCAGCATTGCGGTCATCGGAAGTCCGCAAGTACGATCTGCCTGTCCATGATGGGCAGATCGTACGTTTTTTTAATTACTTTATAACCATCGCAAGACTAAGGTCTTGCGATGGTTGTAAAGTGTATAGCCACCTTAAATTAAACTCAAACTTTAATTGGAAAATTGAAGGAGCCAGGTGGATAATTTTTAGTTGAACAGTGACTACATGGAATCAAGTGATTTTCTCTTGTTCAGCCCACAGGCTGGATGAGAAAAAAACTATACATGTATGGCCAGCTTTAGGGCCCATTTACACCAGAGCATTGCATTAATCGCACAATACTGAATGTTTAGGGCTTTTGCACAGCGCACGTATCGTGCGTTACTGTGCACTAGATGCATTGTGTTGCCATTCAGTTGAAGAGCACCCCAATGCACCTCTAGAAATTGCAGTGCAGCACAATGCATGGTAAAGCAATACTGTACCTTGCGCTGTATGGAAAAAAAGTGCATTCGCCACAAACAATTGTGAAGCTGCACATTATGCTGCAGCACGTGGCCACCAGGAAGTGCGTTGGGGCACCATTCAAATGAATGAATGGTAACGCACACTAGGTGCACTGTGAAAAAATGTGTATTAAACAAAACACTATGATGTCAATGGACCCTTAATCATCTACTTACTAGTAAGGTAAAGTGAAATCTTATTACTACTGACTTTCCCATTTAACTTAATATCATTATCCTTTTTTTCTGGAATATTTTTAAATAAGTGTAAGTAAATAAGTAAAACCTGTGTACACTGGCTTTTGCAGAGCAGCTGACATGATGAAAAAGCAGAGGATAAAACCCGTCTACAGGAATGGTGAGAGATGCAAATGTAACTTCCCTGTCTGACTTCTTGAAACCATTATTAACTATGTGAGCCGGCTGTAGACACGCACATGCAAACAGGAAAACAAAGCGATGTGGGCTTGAAGCTGAACAAACCCTACTAAGTTTATTTCATGACACTTTTGGTTAAACTGGCCATACACCTATAGATTATCTGCAGATTTTCAAAATGCCTGAACAATGCCTGTATCTAATCAGATTGTTCAGGTATTCTGACAGCCAGCGGGGCCGACTAGCAAGATACTGAAACTTGGACCAGCGGGAGATTCCTCCATCCACACAGTTTAGGGCAGATGGAGGAATCTGTTGCACTTTTTCCATCTGACCATAGAAAGTCTGCAGATAATCTATAGGTGTATGGCCAGCTTTACTAGGACATGTTACTGGGACCAATTTTAGTTTAGGCTGGAAATCCTTCCCGCTTGCTGGTCAGTAATTATTTGAATGATTGCACCTGCAGGCTTAACAAGGAAAATATTACAGATTCTTCCATCAACGCTTACAAGCATTGTTTAAGGAATCTCCCGCTGTCTGTATTCTGACAGTGACTGCCAGCCGCTGTCAGAATACCC